GAGAGAGAGAGAGAGAGAGAGAGAGAGAGAGAGAGAGAGAGAGAGAGAGAGAGAGAGAGAGAGCGCGCGCGATCGTCTCTGGTGTAATCCTATACAGAGTGCTCTCAGACGCGCAAACGGTTTTTTCTGTATCTAAGTCGAGGGATTGTCTTTCCAACGTGATTCGATTACAGGGGAAGTGTCTGCGGTGTGGGGCAAGCAGCACTGGTTACACTCTCCGTCAGACGGCACTGCGATCGCGATTCATCGGATTATTGCCCGTCATCTTACACTGGATGAGTCGAGTGAAAATAATAAATAAGTTGGGGAATAAATAAATTAAGTCTAAGAATTAAGGGAGCGCATATGAAAAACGCAGCTGTTACTGTGACGAAACGTTGACGTGGGAACGGTGGGGGCGCTGCTGTCGCTAGCAAAGAGAGAGAGGGGAGGAGAGCGCGCGCGCTCGGAAAGAAAAAGATATATATATATATATACTAATCCTATAATGAAATACAACGGCGTTACTTTTTTTGGTCTAAGACCTGGTTACTAACCCAATCTAATTAGGTCACGCAGAGCTGACCCAGATTTAACGTTCACATTTAAAATTTAATGACAAGGTGCAAACTTTTTCAACAATCATAAGTGTTTATAAATTACCTTAAAAAACAGGTAGCTTCGTCACATTAAAATTGTTATATAATAGCACCACAAGTATCATTTATGTAAAGTTTTAGCTGTCACTTTCTGTACATTTTTTATTTCAGGCAGAGAGCGATTTATTCGACTGACAGCTGAAATATTTCCGTCCTCGCCAGCAAACAGGCAGTTGTTGCAAAACGGTTTCCTGTAGTAATACATTGACTCTAGTGTACCACTTGATTGTTTTAACTTTTCGCCCAAATCGTGAAACACGTGTATCGTGGCACTATAGAGGTCGCGATTGTTTAATTGTTTTTTTGTCGGTGAAGGTACATTATACGGTAAATTTACGTACCCGAGTGATAGAAAGTACTGCGCGCGCGTGCGTGCGTGCGTGTGTGTGGGTGCAGCACGATGGGTGAGACAGGTTGACACACACGACGCTAGCTGTAGGAAAAGGCACGCTAGTCAGTAAATTTTTAGCAACCATTTATTTTCCGGTATATACAGGCTACATCGGCGCCGGCAAATACAGACAAATACGGGGGGTAAATCTGCATACTCAGAATCTATGTACAGTAATGCGCATGCGTCAACGCGATTCTTTTGCCTTACTCCGGACGAGCGTCTAGAATTATTGTCTCGAAAAGATTATAATCATTATAAATAAATCATTACTTTTAACGCTAACTGTGGGCGTCCGCTGCTGCTCGCAATTGCTACATCTGCAAAACATCGACCTAACTGAGAATTGCGAACGGCATCACTGCGTAGAGTTCATATAGATGGGGAGAGCGCATTGTGGGGGGAAGCAGTGGGGATAGAGGGATGGAGAGGCAGAGACTAGAGGGTAGGGAAGAAGAGACGGCATACAGCCTATGGTAGAGGGAGACAAGAAGAAATGGCGAGACAGTGAGAAGAAGGGTGAAAGGGCGAAAGAGAGAGCGAGCAAAATAAGGAACGAGAGAGAGAGACAGACAGGAAGAGAGAGAGAGAGAGAGAGAGAGAGAGAGAGAGAGAGAGAGAGTGACAGCGAGAGATAGATTGATAGAAAGCGAGAGCGAGAGAGAGAGAAAAACAGCGAGAGATAGATTGCTAGAGAGATAGAGCGAGAGAGAGAAAGAAAGAGAGAGAGAGACACACACACACAGAGAGAGAGAGAGAGAGAGAGAGAGAGAGAGAGAGAAGAGAAAGAGCAGAGACAGAGACAGAGAGAGTAGAGAGAGAAGAGAGAGAGAGAGAGAGAGAGCAGAGAGAGAAGAGAGAGATTTGCTTAGAGAGAGAGAGAGAGAGAGAGAGCAGAGAGAGAGAGGAGAGAGAGAGAGAGAGAGAGAGAGAGAGAGAGAGGATGCGCGCGCGGCTGAGGGAGAGAGAGAGGCGGGCGAGCAGCGAGAACGAGGAGAGAGAGAGAGAGAGCTGAGAGCGAGAGAGGAGAGAGAGAGAGAGAGAGAGAGAGAGAAGAGAGAGAGAGAGAGAGAGGCGGACGAGAGAGCGAGAGTAAGAGAGAAGAGAGAGCAAAGCAGAGACAGCGACCATATAATATTGATAGATTAGATGAGAGCGGGATAGACGAAAGTAAAGTGTTATGTATTGGCTAATCATCATAGGTATTAGTAGAATAGAAGAAGAGCTCATATCAGGCGTGGTCGCCATTGTCGCTCACAGCATCACTCTTCATAATTTCTACCTGCTCGACATCATCTACTTTCACAATTTCTAAATCTCACGAGCAAACTTTCCCCTTCTATCGCTCCTGCTCCTCTCTCTCCTCTCCCTCCTCTCTCTCTCTCTCTCCCTCTCTATCTTTCTCTCTCTGTGTCTCTCTATGTCTCTGTTCCACTTAGCTCATCTACTCGCCGCCCGTAGTCTAGTAGCCGCCGTCGTTAGAGCTGTGCCGCCGCGGTCTGGTGTGACATCCACGCTGACCTGACGAGAACGTCCAAACACACACGTCCGACGCGCGCGCGCGCCGGCCCGTCATGTGCGCGGATGCACACATACGCACACAAGAGATTTCATTGATGAAACTGCGTGCGAGCCGATAGAAAAATCGAGCAGCGAGCCGTTTTTCGCTGCTAGTTTGGCGGCGGGGAATTTTTGCGCACAGGCCGCGCGTTGTTGTCGGTGTCAGTGATGGCAGCGGGATCAGGGATCCGCCCCGTTATATCGCCAATACAGGCGCCGTGCTGTGTACACGCGCGTACACATGCATGCACGCACGCGCGCACGCGACCTGTTCTAAACACACATACAGATACACAGGCACATACACACACACACACACAACACACAACACACACACACACACAACACCGACACACACACCACACATACACACATACACACACACACACACACACAACACATCACCACTGCGCGCGCACACACACTATTTCTTCTCATTATTTCGCTGCACCACAACACACAATGTCGTCACGCGCGCGCCACACACACACTATTTCTTCTCTATTTCGCTCACACACACACACACACACACACACACACACACACACACACACACACACACACACACACACACGGGCAGGGACGCACGAACATGCACCCGCACAGAAACATCCATATATACCTACACGTACGCACACAGGGCTAAACTCTGATGAACTTCTAACAGTATAGTTATCACTATATACAAACAACATATATATATATATATACATTCATAAATATATATAACATATCGGGTAAACTTTAGACAGCTCTCTGACATGATTATACTGTGACAGCCGCAAAGCGTACGACGAGTCATGACGATGACAATAGCTGGGTGGGGAAACATCTCTCTGTAGCTAAGACGTGTTACGCCACATGAGTAAAGTGGTTCACTGAGTCGAATATATTAAGTTACGATATTTTACACGCGCGCCAACAATATTTACACGTGAGTTCTTTCCTCGCTCTTCCTCACTCTTCGTCTTCTTCTTCGTCCATTTGCTCGTTTACTCGTGAGAAACTATCTCGCGTATCTCTGCGCAACCGCGCCCCCTCCCGCGTGGGTCGGGCAGAGGGGGTGATAGGGTGGGCGGTTGAAGTTTTCGGGGGGCGGTTAGCACCAACCACCTGGCTCTCAGCACGAGCATTCACACTTGTTGATGATCGGGTACTGGATGCGTATCCAGGAGCATGGCTGCTTCGGGTTCCATCGCGGACAGTGCCAGCGCAAGATCGTGATGTTCGTCTGCGTGCTCGGCCGGCACGACATGCCCGCCGGCACCGAGCACGAGTACCCGGGCTCGCTGTAACAGCGGCCCTCGCGGATCCAGCGCGGCCAGAAGCGCACGCCCAGGTCCTTCCACTTGTGCACGACGGGGCAGTAGGTGTACGCCCAGAGCCACTGCTGGAACTTACGGCGCGACTTCTCGTTGACGCGCATCTTAAAGTTTCGACCGCCAACGAGCGGTGGCGCGTCGAGCGCCTTGATGTTTCCCGGCATGCCCCGCCCGATCGGACGGCCCTGTTTGTTCTTCTTGTAGCCGAAGTGCAGCGTGCCGTTCGGGTGCAGTATGCTCTCCAGGGGGCGCTTCGCCGACATGTGCTCCTTGTCGTAGGCGCGACCGAGTCGTTTCTTCAGCGTCTTGAAGTCGAGGTCGCGGGAGGAAGGGTCGTACATCTCTCCCGGCGGCTCTTTCAGGTCGACGATGGGCAGGTCGTCGGAGGGGCGTGGTCGCATCTGGCGGGCCATGTCGAGCAGGTGCTGCGTGTTGCGCGCGTCTGCCGTCTGCCGGGCCGGCCACAGGCAGACTGAGCAGACGAGCAGCAGTGTCGCCCTCTGTACTTCAGTCATTGTCAACGACTTCATCTGCAAGAAGATAGAAATGCGTGAGGGGCAATGTTGCAAGTTCGGTAGTCAGTTGGTTTCGTTCGGTTCCACAGTGCTGTAGTAACTTGCGTGTTGGAAATTGAATTTCACCCCTCGACGTTTCTCTCTCTGTGATCTCTCAACTTATCATCCAACTCTCTCTCTCGCTCTCTCGCTCTCTCGCTCTCTCTCTCTCTCTCTCTCTCTCTCTCTCTCTCTCTCTCTCTTTCTCGCGCGAT